TGTTATCCCTCAATAAATATGTAGAAAATGTGCATATAATAAAATCAGTTAACTGTAATTACTTTTTGTAGTAGTTGATGAATTTTATCAACTGGAAGAACTAGCGGTGATTTCTTTTTTCCTTTTTCCAAGGCATCCCTTGCGTCTCGAAGTGCCCATCTATCGATGGGAGTAGGAAACGTACGTCTTACTCTTTCTTCCACATCCTGAGGTGTATGCGGAGGAGGATGACCGCAAAGCATACCCAATAGCCTTAAGATCAAACTCTCAACATAGTCTAAGGCATCTTGTCGTGCTTCAAGACTAGGATGTACTTGCTCCAGTACCTATTTAGTATTAATTGTTACTTGAAATATGACAACTATTGTTACAAGGAATGACAAACTGAATATTCTATTTCTATATTAAAAACACAATCTATTGTTTAAGGAAGTATTATAATAGATAAAGATTATTACTCAACAACAAGCAATTCAGACAGATCTATCGCATTTTGTGTACTGCATAACCATTTAATTATTTTTTACTTTATCTATTTTCTTATTACATGTATTTGTATGAATGGCTTTCATAATAATGAAGAAAAACAAAATACTTACTTCATTTGAAAAATTGTTGAATTAATTATAAAGAAAAATAGAATTCAAATACAGGTAAGGATTGATGATAAGGAGCAATACAAATAGGAATTGGTATTTGTTAGAAATTTAATTTCAGTGTTTGATCATATATCACAAATTTTGTTACATATAGAGTAGTGACATGTAGTTTTGTCATTCGCACAATAAATTTCATAGTTATTTAAAAGATACACACAGTGAGCATTAAAGGTATTTATTCAGAATGTAAGTTTAGGAGAAACTATGTACAGCTTTGTTTATAAACAACTTTTATAACACAAACAATTTATCTATGTATTGAAAATGGATAGAGTAACAAGTTTGAAAAAAAATAAAGATATTTATAAGAATATTCAGAAGAATTTAAGAATTTATAGAAATAAATAATATGTAAAAAATATTTGTACAGCTCTTACTTATTAATAATAGAAGAATATTAACAAGACATTATTGGCTAGGATCCACTGTTTCAACAGAAAGGACTGCTTTTGTCTAGCGTTTAATTTGGATCATTCGATTCTAAGAAAGATTCAAGTTGTAAGACCAAGAAGGAATCCCACAAATATTAATTTGATATATGATTTTCTCTAACGTTTAAAAAACCAGCAATTGTATAGACAATTGTATAGGCATTAGGTAAATGTTTCTGCCACTTACTAAATTCTCTTACATACTTCTACAAAAAATACCAGTATCGGTCTTTTTTTTTTTAAATATCAAATTTTTCTAGATGTTTCAAGATATACATACAAATAGTTTCTGTAACAAAAGTTTATTAACAAAGGGCCTGTACAAAGTGTTTCTTCTGAAATTGCTCGCTGTACGAATACTTTTTAAATTCACTGTACGTGTGTTGTTGCACGCGCATCGTACGACAATGACAATGTACGATATATCGGTGAAAAGCCAGATCGATGCCATCGGGAGATGTTAGGTGGAACAGGACCTCGTGGAAATTCGTTAGGAAAGAATTAACCCGAAGTGGAAGATACCTTGCGCAGGGAGTTGACAAACACTCCCTTCCACTTGGCGGCGTTCTCCTCTTTCTGAAAGTCGTAGCCTGACGGCTCGCCCACCACTGACGCCGTCGACGAAAACATCTCAATGCTCTGGTACGAGGTATCACGCACCCGAGAGAATAACGCGCACTAGCTAGAGAACAGGCTCCGGAGAGTTCCCGATATTTACAATGACCATTTCGTCGGGAATCACAAAAACTTGACAGAGACGTCTGTCTGTCCGTCAGTCCGTTTTTCTTGCAGACATCTCTATGTAATGCGACGGCTAAGCCACTCGGTTGTATTCCTTCGATATCCTAGCACCTCTAACACTTATTATTCTTGGAAGCATTTCCGAGACCAACTCGAGAGTCCCCGAGTTATGCCGTTTGTGCATTTTACACGCCCTTTTACTCGAATTTTTGTCAGAACCCAGTGCTAACACCACTACTATCAAAGGATACCATTGCGCGACTCGCATCGATCGATAACTGCGATAGTATCATCGCGGCGAGATATTCGCGAGCTTCGAGATATCTCGCGGGCCAAACTATCGATCGATCCTCTCGAGAGGTTTTTCAAAATTTCTTTCATTGAAAATCACTATTACACGACAACTCCTAATGCATTCTACAATAACGACAACTACAATCACTCGACTTATTTATTTAACGCGAACGAAAGTTCTGAAAATCATATTGTCAGATGTTTGTATCTATTTTTCATTCAATTCATCAAATTATTTATTTATCACATCATGATATTTTTCTTGGCACTTCCTTATTTAATATTCAGGAATCTGTTACCTAATTTCTTTAGTGTAATTGTATCATCAATTGTATCATATGACTTATCATTTTGGACGCTGGACAAATAATATAGCGCTTCTATCGGGAAAACGCCCAAATTTGTCCTCGAATAGTTTCTCTTTTCACTACTAGATGGCGCCATTAACTAATTTTAATAAAAAAGTAGTTTAAATGCGCATATGTTTATGTGGTAAGCAATCATCTCATTCTAAAATTACTATCTTGTAAATTGAAATTGTTATAAAACTGAATTTTTGTTTAACTTTAGTTAATGGTACCATCTAGCAGCTAAAAGAGGAACTATTCGCGGACAAACTTGGGCGTTTTCTCGATAGAGGCGCTGACCAAACTCCGAAAAAAGTTCAGGTTTTCGTCGCTAGAGGCGCTAAATGTTCGAATTTTAGTTCTAGCTTCACCGCTAGATGGCGATACCATAGTTTCTCACAAAATTGACGATATATAACGAACAACCTGACACTCTTGCTAAAGAAACAACCTATCAAGATGTAAACCAACTAGAAAAAATATCCTTCAACGATTTAAACAGCGTCTGGAAAAGACAGATGTGGGAGGACACCCACAACCACATACAAACCGAAGCCAAACTCAAAAGAACACTATATTTTAACACATACTATGAAAATAAACAAAAACCATGGTATCATAATAAAAAATTACCTAGGTACATTATCTCTTAACTACTACAACCTAGCAGCATCTTTAGCGAGAGTAGGAATCAAAAACAGCAGTGAATGTCAATGTGAGGCAGACTACCAAGATTTGAATCAAATTCTTTGGGACTCCCCGCTCTACACAGACAGTCGTATAAAAATGCTAAGCCAACTTCAGAAACTGGGATACCCATCGCTTCAAAAAATAGAAGCAATTCTGCAGAGCAACAACACCAACATAATAAAAATTGTATCAGCATTTCTACAAATCAATGGAATCAACATTTAAACACCATCAACACCTTCAGAAGTGCCTTATACGACTCATAAGACTGAGTCATATGACATATATTTTAAACAATTTATTTTTATATTATTATTGTACATATTTCTTGTTATATTTTTACTTAACTAAGCGTCCCTTCACTGTGTATTAGACATTGAGCTCTATCCTAACTGGAGTGTGAACTGCGAGAGAGAAGCCGGTCCGAGAGAGATGCATGATGAATGATTACGGTGGTACTATCCTATAGCAAATTTATGTGTGGAGGGAGAACAGACTCCTCTTTGTTTGAATTTCGCGGCACTACGAATTATTTACAGATTAATTATGTACAGATTTGAACTTTATTTCCTTTTTGTTTATATATAAAACGATAGAAACATTAATAATAATGACATAATAATGAAATAGTGTACATAATTTACATACCATAATTTAGATCATACAAATATATACAATTTGGTATAGAGCTAAATTTTATTATTTCTCACAATTCAATTTATATTGTATTTGTCCAATTTTATGCGGAAAAGAATCTGAAAAGAGAATTATTACAGCTTTGTAATGCTTTAGGTCTACAATGCTCGGGTAGATTGTGTTACGGCGTACGTTTGTTCCCCCTCTACAAATAAATTTTCTATAGGATAATACCGGAACCACCCATTTTGCATTTCTCTTGGACCTCCGTCGCCTCTACTTCTTCCTACAGGAGTTCACACTCCAGTTAGGATAGAGCTCAATGATTAGACATGTATACTATATTAAGCTTTAAGGTTATGTACTCTGTAAATTCTCTGTACGTGTAATATTAGTGTGCATGGACCCGAGAAGGGTCGAAGCGCTTATCAATAAAAAAAAAAGATATTTTTTGTCAATGACAAAAAAAAATTGACAATATTTATCCTTTTGCGGTATAGTATAATAGATCGATCAGTATTATGTTTCATTTGAAAGAAAATTACAGATTCGTAGGGTTAATTAATATTTAAGACCGAATAAGTACATTACATTACATTGACAATATTTTTTTCATTTTCTTTTTAATAATTTATATAAGTTACGTACTAAAAATAGTCGTGTTTAGAGAATGATTTGTGATACGTATTTTTTCAATCGAGCTTTATGTTCTCTATCAGTAATTATGACATTTTTATACTGTAGCTCTTTATTAAGTGTAGGAATCAACTGACTTTTAAACGATTTGCAGTTTGACAACGTATACTTTATTGTCTGACTTTTACAACTGTCTCGACCGAACCGAACTCCGAATTATTACAAATAACAAATCACACCGCGTAACCACGCAACCGTTACATTCACGGATACACTCGCACGCTTACCCTCGTATTATATATCACACTCCTACATAACTATTACTTTTACTTTAGTAATGAATTCCGAAGAGGTTTTTTTTTTCTTAATAATCCATTTATTAAATGTAAGAAGTTCCATTGTTACTTTATACATCATTATCGTTGATAATTCATTAATATAAGTATTTATTGTTCCTATATTATTTGTTCATCATCCAATAACGATAAATTAGACAATTACACTAAGGAAATTAGGTAAGAGGTTCCTGGATATTAAATTAGGAAGCGCCAAGAAAAATATCATGATGTGATAAATAAATAATTTATTTGATGAATTTGATGAGAAATAGATACAAATATCTGACAATATAATTTTCAGAACTTTCGTTCGCGTTAAATAAATAAGTCGAGTGATTGTAGTTGTCGTTGTTGTAGAATGCATTAGGAGTTGTCGTGTAATAGTGATTTTCATTGAAACACTTAATTCGCGATCCGTTCGCGATAGTTTCGTGTGAGGAACTGATACATCGAACGAGATTCCTTTTTTTCTTCTTCATTCCAGGGTCCATCCTTTTTTGATTTATAGTGTACCTCATTTGGCAAATAAAATTAACGTCCATGTCTTCTATACTGCCCCAAAGCTTCAACTGTAAACACAAATGAGTAACATTATGTTAATTAAGTGTCTAAAAAGATTTCTTTGCAAGAGAAAAAGACTTAAAGAGACTTCGTGCATCGTCCTCGAACGCTTCGCGTGCCACCGGCGTATCTTAATCAGTCTCGTCGTCGGCGAATTATTTCCGATGTGAATCAATGTAATTGCGACACAACCGAGATAAGACGGCTGGAGTAACTTTATTTTCGTCTTACATCACTTACACGCTTCTCCTTGGTGTACGCGTGCGCGTCGCTAATTTCGAGCTTTTTTTTTATTACGATCTTATCGGTCTCGAAGGACAAATTAGAAGAAAGAAGAAGAAATGATGAATCGAAACTCTTGGCATCGTTCGCTGTGGGTTTTTTTCGATGAAAAATGAAAAAAGAGAGATAGAAGGAAAAATGACAGAGTAAAACGAAACTCTCGGAAACGGATAAGCGCCACGGCGCAGTTCGCCAAGATTTTTTCGATGATCGATCGGATATCTCTTGACGCAGCAATTTGCAACCAAGTACGCGCGCTGATAGGACATTGAACGCGTCATCAAAGTCGGTGCACGTGATCAACAACGAAAAAGTTCTGTCTGTTTATATTTTATCCTGTTACCGAAACGCTCGAGAAATATCTGCGTATCTTCTGGTTGAGTATCGGAAAAGTGGTGTGCTCGGGGAAATTCTCAGTTTCGCGAGCGCGTATTTTATTTATTTGTTAGAGGTCGGTTGTTACAATCGAGTCGTCTTTAGAATTCGAAAGATTGCGATATGAACGGGAATATAATTATTTTAATTACATGTATTGAAAAATAATTTAATGTGATAGAGTACACAAGATTCAATTGTGGCAAAAAGAAAAAAAGGATTCGACTATATTAAATGACTATATTCTTGTCTTTTTTTTATGGAAAACTCAAATAGAGAGATACGAATAAACCTCTGTTTTCCTCCTTACTTTAACAGAATGTTCATCTAGTCTTGGACATGCAATATCCAATTTGGATTTGGAAATCCAAACGAATATGCATTCTTTCAAGGAAGAAATTTAAATTAATTTAACGTGATGATTTAAATCAAATTAAATTGAATTGAATTGCAAAATTCGAATTTGGCGAAAGTTGAATTTCACTATCATCGAGCTGTACACTATGAGCACCCAACAATTTGAATTTCTAACGTTTAGTATCTGGTGCATGTAGTCTTACAGTTGCAAGATTCGATAAACGTATGGTAATTAAAGTGACGTATAATTTAAGTTTGCATACCTAACAACAGGATAAGCCGCGTTTCCTTTGTAGCCGAGTTGTCCCGAGAGTCGGAAGAGTTTTCGCAGATTCTTCATGTTCATATCGAACACGGAACGTTTCCTGCGGCCACTGAAGCATAAAGTAAGCGACAGTTAGAGAACAAGTGCCTAAAATGTAAATGCATTTAATATCGATATTGACGATTACGTTTTTAATTTATTTCATTGACATGATTATTAACAGTTTGTAAATAGTATTATTTCACAGTACTGTAATCATGATTTTAGACTCTACAATGCGTTGAAAATGCAAATAAGTAATTGGATACATTGTTGAAAATTGTATAAACATAATCAAAGGTAATATAACAGTATTGAGTAAATCAACAGGTATCGTGAGACTTACTAAAAAATGAAAAATATTTAAATGCTTAAAAAAAAATGCTTTATTTCGTCATATTATAATGTAGCCTTGAAGTAATACCCAAAATTTGTAGTATCATTCAAGACAATGATGGTTGAACCAACGACGAGTGGAACATTTACTTCATCGTTTTGAAATAAATAATCAATTTCGACACTCACATTTTCGATATGTCCAATTGTCGGCCACTCCTCATCACTGTGGGGTGTAATTTTCCAGTCATTTTATAGAGGGCCATCAGGGTCTCTAATTCTGCTCGCCTTTGATCCGATAATCGTTTCTGCCGCCTGCATTTGCGACAAAAATTTTATTACAAATAATACTTACTTCTATTTCATTCTACAAACTGTGATAAAGAAAGTCATAAGTAGACTGTGGATTTTATGCATTCGTGCAAAATGTACATAATATATGTATAATATACTCTATTAATTGGTATAATAATATTAACGTTTTGTTTCACATAAGTGCATATAACTTATGGTTACGTATTCGCGTGTATCATAAATACTTAAAATCCGTAGTTGAGTAAAATTACTCACTCATTAACCACTCCTAATAATTCTTCGTTCATTTTCCCTGCTAAATCATCTTCTCCTGTTCTCGCGAAATTCAACACAGCATCGTGAGCGCCAATTTGATTCTCATTCGTGAATCTGTTGGAAGAAAAAATAAAACTGCATTTAATAATTTATGTAGAAAGAATTCCTATAAAATTATTGTCTGATACGATGGGGAATGATTTTAAATTAGAATAATACAGTTACGAAAATAGCTTAGAAATTAGAGTTAAGTAAAAAGTTACATTCAGCCAGCAGCCAGCTAGTTTGTAAAGTTTAAAAGTTTAAAGCTCGTAACTCTCAGATTGATTAGTATCAACTTTCATCTAACAGTTTTTTAATATCAATCTATAAAATCAGTTTTAGCTGATTTGATTGATATTTAGCAATAAAAAATTAATTTGAAGTAGCTTCTAACTTTTTATCTCAAGGTTGAATGTTTCCTCGGTATCAAGCACTCAACGATTAGGAAAATGCAAATTGTCGTTGGATATTAAAATTTTCAATTAATTGATATAAGCGAAAACAGATCCTTTTCGATAAAAAACTAATCAAACAGGAAGAGGTCACTCAAAAGGTCAAATCAAAATGTGTACAAACCTTCCGTAGCCAGGACGAGCAGAAACGATCGTGGACAGATAAAATAGTGTGAACAGCGATACGATTTTGATCCAGGACTTCATGTTTGCGTAACCACGTGAGTTTTACGGTCGAAAATAAAAAATAGAAAAATCAAAACCGAAATAAACGTCTTCGAACACGGTCTACTCTTGAAACTTTCTTGTGTTTCGGAAGTAGATATCACAAGAAGTTGTCTTCGTGTCGTTCTACTTGGAACTGTAAGTCAACACGGCCTGATACGCGTATATATTCGTCTCGGAGGAACATCCTCCCCACTTAAAAGCCTAACTGACGTTACTTCTACACCCTCTTTCGTGATACCGCTGGCAGCATGTTTCGTTGCTTAATGCACGAGAGCATGAGTTCGATAAATTCGTCTTTCGTATCGTAATTTAATTCTCTGAATTGCCGATTCTATCGTTGACGCAACGGAGGCGCATCGACCTGACCACTCGACCATGGGACAATAATTAATTAGTTGGTTCGAAGGGGGAAGAACTTCCTAGAACGGTTCGAAGAAAGGTGAATGTTTTGTTTGGGAATTTTATGTGGACGAACGGAACGTTTTCTGGTAATAAGTTTTGAACAATTCGAAAGAACGTTCAAAACTATTTTGAATTAGCCTAGTTCTTTTTATATGTGAGAAACGTATAAGGTGCAGATTTGGACTCGACAGCATTAACTACAACGCAGTAGCTTTGTTAATTTAAGATATCTTTAAATACAAACATTGCGACACATGCATTAAGAAACGTTCTTTCGAATACCCTGAAACAGATAATGTTCCGTTTGTCACCAAAAAATTCACAAATATGCACCTTTCTTGGGACCGTGCTAGGTACTCCTTTAAGTTTCCCTCATTAATTGCTCTCTGCGATAGGAGAAACGTGCAAAAGTGTATTCGTGCCCAGGAATTCAACAGTTTCATCGATTGACGAAAGAACGTTCCGATATGATAGCTGTGGCAAATGATTGTCGTATCACGCTTTTTTCTTAAACTTTTCTTTAAAGTGGGTGTGTTCAGCGCTCACTTTCGCAATTCGCTATCCTCTGTGACGAAGCAAGGGTGTTATTACGAGTAATGCGCAATACGCAGAGTGTATTTTTATTGAAGTGACGACACGTTTGCAGTAACGAATATTTTAACTGTTAACAAAAATAAAATGGATATTGCTTTATTTAGTTTTATTAAAATTTGCTACTTTTATTTGTACAGGAAAATATGCAGCCCTCGTGCTAATATTTTCTTACCAGTTCGTTCATTTTTTTAATTAATTTAATCAAGTTCTCATACGTTGTCACGTCTACAGTGGGTGTAGAAAGTATTCGTACACCGATCAATTTCCCAAAAAACTATGTAAAATTGTAATTTATCAACTTAATTTTTATAAACAATGACATTCTACATATTCTCGGAAAAATCTCTAGAATAGATAGATTACAAAAAAAAATAGCTATTTATGTAAGTTGCGAAATTAACAAGAAAAAAACAATTTCCTTCGTAGGATTTCCTTTTGATTTTAAAATTATTGCAACTATTGTAAGTGTTAAATTAACTAAATTATTAATTAGAAGTTAATAAGAAGTGGGATCTTTTTCCATTTCTCTATTAGAACCATTTTTAAAAGTAGTTTACTGGAAATTTGATGTTTTCTAATTCGTACGGAGCAATAAACTAATGTGTTTACGTTACAAACTCTACTGTAAATGGTACGTCATAAGAATCGTACAAATACTTATTGCTTCTATACTTTTACCCACTTTTCGCATTTTTTTGTTAATTTCACAAATTATATTAACTAGTAAATGTTGTTTGGACTATATCTACCTTAGATACTTCCGATAATATGTAAAATATCATTGATTACAAAAAAAAAGTTAATAAACTACAATTTCACACAAAAGTGTTTTGGGAAATTGATCGGTGTACGAATACATTCTACACCCACTGTAAATGTGTATATAAACACATGCATGTATGTAGAATTCGTTCGAAAGTTGAATAACATCAATTCCCCATGCATAGAAATCATCTTAACAAATTTGATGTGTTTTTGACATACCATTCTTAAGGTACAAAGCCAATTTTCTCGTATTTTCAATTTCAAAATCATAATGTCTGAGACAGTTTAATTTTGAATTCTCTGACATGACATTTTTGAAATTTATTGAAATGACCAACTTCTTCAAATAGAGTAGGGTTGTTAAAATTTAATTGTAATAGTGTAAATGAAAATGAAGTTGGGTGATCCTTCCGTATCAGGTTTGCAGTCTGAGCTCTGAATGCTGCAAATTGGTCGAACCGTTATAAAACGGAGATACGTTGAGTACATCTAAGCTTCGAATACGTTCATTTTGTTATTGACGTGCCCGATCAAGGTCGTACTTAAAAAAATTTTCTATACATTCATATAGAAACCACCATTATCGCCGAATACGTGTTCTAATTATAAGCATTATCTCTTTCCCATTCATTTTTTTTTGCCTCCATCGGGTCAAAAGTTTACTCTTCCGTTCTTCTTTGTGTTTCTATCTGAAATTCGCTATCGTTCGACGCGAGGAATGTGCAAAATTATTTTAAGACTCGTAAGAATCGTGTGTTTACGATTCCTCAGTGTTACAACAACACATAAGTATCTCCCTTTCGCACCAATAAGTAACAAATACATTCGAAGTTGTAAGCAGCTGCAACACTCGATTATTTACTTGTCCTATTTACCCACTCGTCATTTTATCTCCGTTAATTCAACTCCATTTAACCAACAAACGTTACTTCTATTAAATTTACGCTTGATCAATCTTAAAAGTTTACTCTACTGATTTAATCGCCACCAGGAAGTACACAGTCCCAGGGAACTAATTTACAATTATATGCCTAACGATACTGGAAAGTCCTCTCGATAGATTCCACAAATCTGGTGTAAGATTGAGAAATGCAATGTCCAAGTAAAATAATTTACGATCGTGATAAAAATAATCATCGTCTAATTGAACGTATCAGATTTCGTACTCCAAGCTTCGACGATGCTAAATTTAACATTGGTGTGTTACATTCAAATTATTTCGATTATTTATAAATATTGGAACTTCTTATCTAGTAATTTGCAATTACTACACTTGGGTGTGTCCATAACTTTTTTTTTTAATTTCGCTCATTCCTTAAACTCGTACCACGCACATCCTCCGTGTATCCTTGCGTCATGCTTAATTCCCTTTATCTGCGTGGACGAAGATAGCATGAATGATGAAATCAGCAACATAAGTACGTTAAAAAATTCTTGTCGTTACGCGGAAACGTACATCGCGACTCCGATGCATCTTCAGTTCCACGTATAAAAATTCGCGAATCGCTATCGAAATGTCATTAAAAATAATAAAAAAACAAACTAACAGGAAGGAAGTAATATCAAGACTGGTAAGTAAGCATTTTCGTTCTGTTCGCATGTTGATCGATAAAATATTACGCCAATCATGAAAGTGTCGATGCAAAAACGTCAACTCGGAACGCACGAACGGTGTTTTGCCGCTGCACAGCCATTGCTCGCTATGTTTCGGTCAGTCACGGCCGTCGCTACGGGATTCGCCTAATCGGTGCCACGCGCTATCGGTTTTTGTATTACATTTTTAATATTTCATTTATACTGCAACTCAACAAAACGGAGACAATTGTCCACTGTTTAAATTTTAATCACTAATTTCCCGTTTTTGTATCTTCAATTATTCGACTTTTGCTAATTTGGTAATTATTTAACAATTAATTCAATCTATAATTGTATATTATGTTGTTAATTTTTAATAAAAACAGCTACCTATAAAAAAAACCCTCTCTTTAGAGGAGAGTTTACCCTCCCCCCCCCTAAACACTAACTTAAATAACAAAAGATTAAAGTATCGAAAAGTAGAAACATTAAGCTTTAAAATGGTTTTCTATTCGTCAATGTGGGGCGAATTTTAACGAAGTTACGAGAATTTGATGGTTATTATTCAAGCACGTGGCGACGATTGTGCAGAACGCATGACGACGGCCCTGATTCACCGATATAGAGCGAGCGAAGCCTGCGCGTCGGCAAACAGAATTCGTGCGTCCTAAATTAATATTTTCTGAATCTGTACGAACTAGAAAACGTTCCAACATTTGCCGCGGGTGGTTTTCTCTTCAGAAATGTTTGCAGAATCCTGTAATGCATAGTAAATTCGACCTAAACGAATAACTTTTCATAAAAATACAAAAGTATTTCGTGAAAAGTACTCGCGTCGGCAACTTTTTGAACTTCGGTGTTCATTTACAGGCATTCGAAAGAGCAAATAATTCTAAAGGAATATGTCTTCACATTTAGAAAACACTCCCCTATCTTTTAAGTAGTTTTCAAGTAGTATTACGTTTTCTCTAAAAATCGACCGTATTTACAAAATTGCGAATTTCTCAAAAACTAAGTGTGATGGAGCAATTTCACTTTCAGATTCGTATTTAGGACGAGGAACCGTATAAGAATCACCTAGTGTATATCGCGGAATCTAAAAAAAGTTTAAATTTGTTGGACAGTGTTACAAAAATAAGAGATGAATGAGGAGGTAAGATGATGCAAACATAGGGGATAGCTCTTAGGAGCAAATTGATAAAAGGGTATGCAAGTACTGTATTCTATAAAGAATAGTAACAAAGTTTCACCAAGTTATAATATCTTATTAGTGGTAGAGCAAATATTGTAGAAGAAAGTAAAGTAGTCTCAACACTGTTAAAAAAATAAACCAAGCAGCCGTATTCCCTAGTAGTCTCACCATTTTTGTTTAGAATTTTTATTATTAAGAATGAGAATGATTCAATCTAGACTAACGCGTGGCTACTAAGCTCCTTTTACTTCGTGTAATCGATCAATTTGTGTCCAGAGAGGCTCACTTATCACATTCCCTGATAATTAAGCATATTCCCAAAAGCATCGAATTTGGTTCGAATCGTTCGATTACTTTTTCCTTGTAGCAACTTTTAAGCCAACTTACACGCATGGAAAGCATCGTTACGCTTCCCTGAGCAGAGGAACAAAGTTCTAAATACCCTGTAACTCGGTACACGATGTCTTTTCGCGTGTTAGAGTCCCGATAGCGGGTCAACTGACGCTGATCTACCAC